AGATGTTTTCCCAGGATACCTTGGGGGTGGAGGTCACAGGTCTTTTGGGGGTGCGTCAGCTGTCCTTTGGGGTGGGAATTGGCGATCATTTGGGGAGAGGTCAGGTGCCCTTTGGGACAGTTAACTATGGAGAAGGTTGTGTGAAAGGCGGAACTATCCAACTTGCCAAGATCCATCAAGAAGTAGCTAAAAGCATCAACAAGTGGAAGAACTATCACCAGTATCAACCTGTCAAAAAATGTCAAAATATGTTTTTATTAATGAGAATGCTTTTCTCAATAAAATGTAGTTTGGAATATAGAACTATTAAGTAATAGAACTATATTTTTTTCTCCACTGTGCCTGGTTCTTGAGTTTACAGAGTGGGTGAATGGGGAAAGTGGTGTGTGGCAATAGAAGGCACTAAGTTTGCACTGGGATATTGGAGCCATGGGGGATGGTTAGAGGGCCATAGGGAACGATAGGAGATATGAGGGAATATGGGGACAGCTAGAGGGCATTAGGTTGCATGGGATGGCATGGAGAGTGTGTGGGGGTGAGGGGGGGTAGTGTGGGGAGTGAGTACAAGGGGTGAGAACTGGAATTGTTTATATTTCTAACCTTTGGAGACTCAAGGTACTCCTTTTGATCTGGACCTTTCAGACCATAAGACATGGGAGCAGACAGAGACCATTGGGCCTATCAAATCTGCTCCACAATCCTGTGCAATCGTGGCTGATCTGATCATCGTCAACTCGATTTTCCTGCTTTATCCCCATATCCCTCGATTCCCTTAATGATTAGAAATCTATCTATCTCAGCCTGGAATCAACTTAATGACCCCTGTGGTAAAGAATTCCACAGATTCGCCACCCTCTGAGAGAACAAAAATCCTCACCTGTCTCTTAAATGGACACTTCTGGTGGAAGTAAGGCACTCTTTGCAGTTTGCGGTTGTGAACCATAAAACCATAGAAATGGTACAGCACAGAAGGTGGCCAATCAGTCCATCTTGTCCATGCTGACCCAAAGACACCCAGATACCCATTCTAATCCAATCTTCCTGCACATAGCCCATAGCCGTGCAGCTTACATCACTTAAGGTGCAGATCCAGGTATGTTTTTGAATATTTACGGGTCTCTGTCTCCACCACCAGCTCAGGCTACGACTTCCAGACACCGACCACCCTCTACATAAAAAAGTTTTTCCTCACTTCCCCTGTATTCCCTCTGCCACTTACATTGAATCTATGACCACTGTTTTTTTGAACTTTCTGCCAACAGAAACAGGTTACTCTGCCTGTTCTATCTCTATCCCTCACGATTTTGTATACCTCAATCATGTCGCCCCCCCCCCCCAAACTTCCCTGTTCCAAGGAAAGCAACCCCAACCTGTCCCATTTCTCCACGTAACTACAATTCCCTAGCCCTGAAAAAGCCTGCTTGCATGTAAAATGTCCACACAGTAAGTCCAAACTTATTAGAACCTGTCAAGTTTTGTCAAGGAACAATTAAAACAAAATGTGGAATTGAAAATAAATGGTGCTAGGTATTTTGGAGTGCCTGTTCACATTATCCATGTACAATTTGTGCTGCATTACTGATTTCTCAAACTCTTGAATGGAAACATTTGTTGATGTAAAGGATGAAGCACAAATGAAATGAAATACTTAAGGGATTAGGTAAAGCAGTTTGAATGAATTGGATTTTTTTTGTCTTGGTCGGTCTATTTTTCCAATAGTGCCAAGACCAATAGACTGATAATTTTATTTTCTGAGTTATACCCGTGCTGGACTATAGTTGCTTTGGCATGGAGAGGGAAGTGCAAAGGGTGGTGGCTCAGGGATATGAGTTAGCGCTAAGCAAGCACAGGAACTGTAAAGGATGATTGGAGGTATGAGGGAGCCATGGGAGACAAGTACATTGGTACAGGGGTTGTAAGGGTCCTTGGTGATGGGTCAATGGATAGAGGAGATATAAGGGGTTATGAGAGGTGCATACAGAATTATAGATTATCATAGGAGATATGAAGGGTAATGGAGGTGGGTGCAATTGTATAGTATCAGTTGGCATGGATGGGACATGGAGAGTGAAGGGTGCAGGAGGGATAATTTATGATTCAATCTTTACTTTGAAACTTTGAATGCAGTGCTGAAGTTTCCAGTCAGGCTTTCTGCCCAGCCAGCCTGAATTTGCAACTGTTGACTAAAAGTATTTGTTTGTGTCCTTCTTCAGCAGCTCCATTACAGCAGAAAAAAAGGCAACTGCTACTGCTACTCCTAACAATAGTAATAATACAGAATATTGCAGTCTGAAGCATGTGTACAAGTCTTTAAAGCATTTGTTCCTATTGAATTATTGAAAAGTTTGGCTCTGGAAATATTTTGTATTTTGCAAAAAAATGACAGTCAGCAACTTTCCCAGAATTGAGGACTATTTTTCACTTTGATATCTGACTAACATACGTTCTGTACTTGGACTGATTTTGAATGTAAGTGTCTATTTATATGCTCAAAGATTTATGCTTGTTTTGTGATGCACTGTAGTTCAGAGTATGGTACCTCAAAACTTGATGTAAGACCAATGTATCTTTGAAATTTTGTTGTCACCAAGGTCCATAGATACAAAATTAGCAAGTAGGGGTAATATGAATTGTCAAGTGAAAAGGTACATTAACATAATGGGCATCTTTGAATCAGTTAATGATGTATGAATACTACTGTGTTATAGGATCATGCAAAGGAACAGGGCATTCGGCCCATCAGCTCTAATGATGGATGAAGGAAAAAGGAATGCAATAATATAGAAAATGCTAATAGCGTCTGACTCGGCCATGTGGCATTTTTTTTAATGACTTCTGAATACTTGTATGGCATTGCTAAAAGCAATATAATAATATGCTTTATAAATGTGTGCTACTTTGTCCAGCAATTAAATGATATAGTGAATTATGAAAACATAAAGTAACTGATTACTGCTTTCAACCCTTTTGCAATTGAGTTTTTACATGTGTATATGTTGATACATCAGCTTAAACAGACAACTCTTAAGTTTTCATTATATTGCAATAAATGTCAATGCATATAAATAGGGATGATCAATAAGGATATATGTTTTGCAACTCAGTTTGTTTTGGTTTCTTCTGCTTCATGTTAAGCTTATTAATATAGTTGCTGTGAACACAATCCAGTATGCAAAATAGTTAGCAAAGTGACTAACTTACCGCTGTTTTATTTGGACCATATAGTAATTTTCAGTATTTTTGTTCATAAATTTCCATGCTTCATCATATTTGGAAAGTTCAACATACTCTTGCCTAATGTTAACAAAGAGATGTTATGAGTAAGTCTCAACAATATAAGAAATCTAAGTTTCTGTTTGCTGTCCGCTTTAATGTAAGTCATCTCATTGGGAATAAAACTATAGTGTGCGTGTGTCTGTTTGTGGTGATATAATTTACCTGCTTGTCCTGGGAATAGATGAATGACCAATAAAATGAATAGATGAATGACCACTTTGACCAATAAAAAATGAAACGACTCAAATAACATTTCAAGGAAGAGAGAAAAACTTGGACCTGTACAGTGGCTTGGGGTGTCCCAAATTGCATAACAACCAAAACATTGTTTTTGAATTTTAGGGTCATATTTTCACAACTGAGGCAAGTTGTTTGTGAGAATTTTCTGACTCTGATTCAGTATAAAATATCTCGACGTGTGCAATTTTCACTCCAGCCAAATTGAGTGCGCTGCTGAGTGCCAGGCCGGGCTGGGTAAAAGGTCCACCCTGGTGTTCATTTCCAGTTATTTGGTTACATTTCAGACTTTCTAGCCCTCAGTCCTTATACTGCGTTATCCCCTACTCACTCATCATGCCAACTCAATGCCAACTCACATTTATTTAAAAAAAAGCTTTGTGTTCCTTTGACTTTACACAAACCTGAACAAAACATAGCAGTAAAACAATAACAGAAGCTTTAAGAACTTGACAACCTGTTAACCTTGTGCAAAAAGTATTTGAGACATTGACAAAAGAGATCAAACATAAAATAACTTAATATAACCTCATAGAGATGTCGGTCAAATGAAATCAGCACTTCTCTGCACCTGTATAAATTTTTTGATTTGGTTTATTATTGTCACATGTACCAAGATACAGTGAAAAATATTGTTTTGCATGCTAACCAGACAAATCATACCTTACATAAGTACATTAGGGTAATAGAACAGAATACAGAGTAAGGTACAGAGGAAGTGCAGAGAAAGATCAACAGCAACATATGAGAGGTCCGTTCTTAAGTCTGATAACAGCAGGGGAGAAGCAGCAGGCAGTGTAGACAGAGTCAGTGGAAGGAATGGAAGTCAATGGTTTTCACGATGGACTGGGCTGCGTTCACAACTCTGTAATTTCTTACAGTCTTGGGCAGAGCAGTTGCCATATGACTCTCATAATCTTGTCAGAAGAAATTAGACTCTGAGCCAAGTCCTGTGTATCGTGGAGAAGTTAGTAGATGCCTACCTTCACAATGGAGGTGCTCAGATTGGGAGTGAAGGGTGTTGGCTTGCTATCCATACCTCTATACTGCACTAATGCAAATTTGGGTATTTGGAATAAGGCCAAGGATGCCGCAATTGGACGCTGCCCACCATTTCCAAATGCTTTCTGTGTCAAAATGAGCCCACTGTCACTATTGCAGTACGTTGAAATGTGGCACCAATTTACATAGCAAGGTCCCCAGTCAGCGAACAGATAAGTGTCGTTTTTGAACTGTTGGTTGAAGGATACATTTTTGCTAGCACACCAGGATAAACATCCTTGGTCTTCAAAACAGTGCCATGCATTTTTTGAAATTCACTTTGATGTTAATATCTTATCAAGATGGAACATTTAAGAAAAGCTAACTGTAAAAATGTTGTAGACAATATGAGTGGCTGAATAGAAGTTAATGCAGAAGAGAAATGTTCATCAGTCATTACCGTAAATCATTTTGTTTACTCCTTGGTTTAATTTATATTATTTCAGGAAATGTTCACTTACCTTTCTACTGAATTAAAGAAGTTGGCTGAAGCTCATGGTGAAAGGCTTCTGGAGACTTCACACAACCCTATATCTTTAGGTAAAGTTGATTTTTCTCTTTCTTTGAAACAAAGGTAATTTTTGTGTACTTTTCACTGAACTCTGTTAATTCAAAAGATTTTTTGAAACATTTAAAAAAAAAATAAAGTCATTGTGCAATTTAATCAAATTAATGTGTGTAACCGCAGGAGATGGGGGAGATACTAAACAAGTGTTTTGCACCGGTGTTTACTGTGGAGAAGGATATGGAAGATAGAGGACGCAGGGAAATAAATAGCAACATCTTGAAAAATGTCCATATTACAGAGAAGGAGGTGCTGAACGTCTTAAAACACATAAAGATGGATAAATCCCTGGGTATCCCTAGAACTCTGTGGAAAGCTAGAGAAATGATTGCTGGGTCCCTTGCTGAGATATTTATATCATCGATAGCCACAGGTGAGGTGCTGGCTAACGTGGTGCCACTATTTAAGAAAGGTGGTAAGGAAAAGCCAGGGAACTATAGACCGGTGAGCCTGACATCGGTGATTGGCAAGTTGTTGGAGGGAATCCTGAGAGATGGGATTTACATGTATTTGGAAAGGCAAGGACTGATTAGGGATAGTTAACATGGCTTTGTGTGTGGGAAATTGTGTCTCAATAACTTGATTGAGTTTTTTGAAGAAATAACAAAGAGGATTGATGAAGGCAGAGTGGTAGAGGTGATCCATATGGACTTCAGTAAGGTGTTCGACAAGATTCCTGGTTAGCAAGGTTAGATCGCATGGGAAAGAGGAGAACTAGCTATTTGGATACAGAACTGGCGAGAAGGTAGAAGACAGAGGGTGGTGGTGGAAGGTTACTTTTCAGACTGGAGGCCTGTGATCAGCGGCGTGCCGCTTGCATCGGTGCTGGGTCCACTGCTTCTTGTCATTTATATGAATGATTTGGAGTTTTAGTTATGCAGATGATGTTTTATTTAGCAGATGATGCTAAAATTGGAGGTGTAGTGGACAGTGAAGAAAGTTTCCTCAGAGTACAACGGGATCTTGATCAGATGGGCCGAAAGGCCAAGGAGGAGCAGATGGAGTTTAATTTAGATGAATGTGAGGTGTTGCATTTTGGAAAGGCAAATCAGGGCAGGACTTATACACTTAATGGTAAGGTCCTGGAGAGTGTTACTGAACAAAGAGACGTTGGAGTGCAGGTACATAGTTCCTTGAAAGTGGAATAGCAGATAGATACTTGCCTTTATTGGCCAGTGCACTGAGTATAGGAGTTGGGAGGTAGTTGCGGCAGTACAGGACATTGAATCGGCAACTTTTGGAGTATTGTGTGCATTCTGGTCTCCCTGCTGTAGGAATGATGATGTGAAACTAGAAAGGGTTCAGAAAAAATTTCCAAGAATATTGCCAGGGTTGGAGGGTTTCAGCTATAGGGAGAGGCTGAATAGGATGAGGCTATTTGCCGTGGAATGTTGGAGGCAGAGGGTGACCTGATAGAGGTTTGTAATATCATGAGGGGCATGGATAGGGTAAACAGGCAAGGTCTTTTCCCCAGGGTAGGGGAGTCCAAAACTAGAGGGCATAGGCTTAAGGTGAGAGGGGAAAGATGTAACAGGGACCTAAGGGGCAACTTTTTCACGCAGAGCGAGATCCGTGTATGGAATGAGCTGCCAGAGGAAGTGATGGAGGCTGGTACAATTACAACATCTAAAAGGCATCTGGATGTGTATATGGATAGGAAGGGTGTAGAGGGAAATGGGCCACGTGCTGGCAAATTGGACGAGATTTATACAGAATATCTGGTCAGCATAGACGAGTTGAACCAAAGGGTCTGTTTCCATGCTGTATTTTTTATGACTCTATGACTCTAAATATGGCTGCTCAGGAAGCCCTATTTTGCATAACGTCAATTAAAGGTAACAAATAATTTCAAGTCTGTTTCTTATGTTCTAGCTCTGATGAGTGCAAAATGAAAACCTTCAACTTGTAGTCTCCTTCTATCAATGTTTATGTTTAGTACCACCAAGCATTTACTGTGGTCATTTAGACTAAGAAGCTTTGATTTAAGAGGTATCAAGCATTTGCAAAGCCAACCTAGGCATACAGACAAATCAAGTGGCAGAATTTGTTGCATAAGTTAAAATTTTGAGTTACTATTGGTGCAATTTACAAATGATTTTTTGGGGTGGTGTCAGTAGTTAGTCATTCAGTATCCATTATTATTGAGAAAGTGTTTGACAGAATTTTAAGAAAAGCTTTTACCGGAACAAAACAAAAGTAAGATTATTCTGGAAATGTGAAATAAAAGCAGGTAATACTGGTGAATATGCAGCAGATCAGCCAATCATCTGTATAGAGATGAGCAGAAACAGTGTTTCAGTTCGAAAATGTTTCAGCAGAATGAGTGTGATTGGAGCATTGTTCGGTATTTACTGTTTTTTTAGCACTAGAGGTCACTATAACACAACATTGAGCATTTTCACACAGTTTACTCAGAGCCTTGATTATAAAAAGCAAGACTTGTATAACACAGCTCTGGACTGCCCGATGGGCTAGAAATCTAGTTCCAAAAGTCTGATTCAGAACATGCTTTACTCTGTTATTAACCTTCATTTGTTTATTCGTCACAATTCTTACAAAGCATTTACAAGTTTACAATCCATTTGAAGGATCTAAGTAGAATCATAGAATCCTGACAGTGCGTATAGAAGCAATTTGGCCCATCAAGTCTGAATGGATCCCCTGTACAGCATTCCACCCTATTCCTGTAACCCTGCATTTATCATGGCTAATCCACCCAGCCTGCACACCATGGGGCAATTTAGCGCGGCCAGTGCACCTAACCTGCACATCTTTGGACTGTTGGGGGAAACTGGAGCACCCGGAGAAAAACCACATGGGCAGGGGGAGAATGTGCAAACTCCACACAGACATTCGCTCAAGGCTGGAATTGAACCCAGGAACCTGGCACTATGAGGCAGCAGCGCTAACTGCTGGTAATGGTTATTAGGTAATAGTTATGAATGTTGCCTGAGCCCTAAGATTGCATCTGTACCTCAAATCAGTTAAGTACTCGCAGTGATAAATATAAAATTAACAAATATGTTTTGAACTTAGGTGTTCATAATATTATGATGCAGTCCAGTTGTTCAACATAAAGACTTAACTTCTTGAATTACTGTTTTTGAATGTTAAAGTAAGGCCAATGTAAAGCAACAAAATGCTATTATAAATCAAAACAGCAAGTGCAGGAGCAAATTAGCAGATCTGGGGACATCTGTGGAGAGAGGAACAGAATGAATCTTTTGAGTTTAATTTGACTCTTCTCTGGAACTTGAAATGTTAACTCTTTTCTTGTCTCAATAGATGCAGCCAGAACTGCTGAGTTTCTCCAGGACATTCTGTTTTTGCTTTAGATCTCCAGCATTTTCAGTATTTTGATTTTATATTATGAAAATGCTATTACTGAATCATGTGACAGGATCCGCAGGATTTTTAAACGTTATGTTCGATGAAATTTTGATCGTAAACCCATTTCCTCCTTTGTGATTTCAATGAGAAATTGAGAGCAACATCGCAGCGAGTAGGCTTTGTATCTATCTCTTCTCATTCATGGGATGTGGGCATCACTGGCAAATCCAGTATTTGTCATCCTCCCCTAATTGTGCTTGAACTGAGCAGCTTGCTGTGCCATTTCATGGGGCAGCTAAGAGTCATAATACAGAAGAGGCTATTCAGCCCATCAAGTCTGTTCCACCAAAAGTATACTGCAACCTACACTAGTCCCACTTTCCTGCACTAGGCCCAAAGCCTTGAATGTTATGACGCATCAGTACTTTTTCTTATGTTTTATCCAAGTATTTTTTCCTGCCCCAGCCACCCTCCCATGCAGTACATTTCAAATTCCCACCAGCCTCTGGCTGAAAACATATTCTCTCAACTCCCCTCTAAACCTCCAGCCTTTCACTTTAAAATTATGCCCCTTTGTTAGTGATTCTTTTGTTCACCCTGTCCATGCCCCCTCACAATATTATGCATCTCACCATGTCCTCCCTCCACCTTCTCTGCCCCAGAGAAAAAGAAATCGAGCTTATCTAGCCTCTCTTCTTAGCTAAAATGCTCCATCCTAGGCAACAACCTGATGCATCTTCTCCCAACCCCCTCCAGTGTAATCACATCCTTCCTATAGTGTGGTGACCAGAACTGCACACACTACTCCAGCTGTGGCCTATGCTGAGTTCTGTATACCTCCAACATGAATTCTCTGCTCTTATAATGAATGCCACACTGATAAAGGCAGGCAAGATGTATGGCTTCTTAACTGTCCTATTCATCTATCTTGCCACATTCAGTGGTCTGTGGACAAGTACCCCAAGATCCCTCCGCTCCTCTGAGCTTCCTAGTGTCCTGCCATTCATTGAGTACTCCATTGTCTTGTTACTTCTTCCAAAGTAATTACCTCACATTTATCAGGGTAAAATTCCAAGTGCCCATCTGAGCAATCCGTTAATATCCTGCTGTAACCTAATACTTTCTTCCTCACTGTCAACCACCTGGACAAATTTTGTGTCATCCGCAAAATTCCTTATTATGACCCCATATTCTCATCTACATCATTTATAAATATCACAAAGAATAAGGGACCCAGCATTGATCTCTGTATTACATCACTGCACATTGGGCTCCAGTCACACAAATAGACTTTATCACCAACCTCTGTCTCCTGTCACTAAGACAATTTTGGATCCAAGTTGTCCTGAATCCTATGAGCTTTTATCTTTTTTATCAGTTTCTCATGTGGGACCTTAACAAAGGCTTCACTGAAGTCCACATAAACTACATCAATTGCCCTACCCTCATCGAAACACTTGGTTACAATCTGAAACATTTCACTAGATTTGTTAGGCATGACATCCCTTTGACAAAGCCATGCTGACTATCCCTGATCAAACATTGCCTCTCTAAATAGAGATTAATTTAACATTTAACGCTCTATCAATGTCCTCTAGCTGCATGCAAAGATTATCCCCTTGTTTTCTAATAGCTCTGCTCTTCACTATTTTCTTACTAATGGTTCCTTACTAATGATGTTAGACTCACCAGCTTATAATTTCCTGGTCTATCTCTACCACCCTTCTTGTAAAGTGGAACCACATTAGCTGTCCTCCAACTCTCTGGCATCTCCCCAGTGGCCAGAGCCAATTTGAAAATTTGGGTCAACACCCCGGTAATTTCTTCCCTCATCTTCCGCATCAACCTGGGATATAATTCATCTGGACCTGGGCATTTGCCTGACTGTTTCCCTAATTATTCTCTTTCACTTGATGTACTTGTAGAGTATCTTGGGATTCTCCGGAATCCTGCCCACCAGTGTTTTCTCCTGATTGCTTTCTGGAGATCCCCTCCCCCCTGTACTTTCTATACTCCTCTAGGGCCTCTGTTGTTTTGCTGCTTTTGTACCTGTTATATGTCTCCCTTTTCCTTTTATTCAGTTGTAGAGTCAGTCCATTGCTGAGGGTTTGGAGTTACATCTAGGTTAGGGTGGACTTTCATGATCCAGATACACTTTTAAAAAACATTGATGCTAGTTTCACGGTATCATTACTGAAAGTAGCTCTACAATGACAGATATATTAATTGAATTTCATCAGCTGCCAGTGTGGGATTTAAATCGATGTTTCCAAAGCATTAGACTGGGCCTTTGGCTTACATAGTCCAGTGACTCTACCACTATCTTGCCCTTTTTATTTTAAAGAAACCATTTTCACGTTCAGATTTGTCTGCTCTACAAATTAATTACTAAACGCGTTGCGACATTTTGAGCAGCCACGATACCACCTTCTCAGTGTAAACCTCTGACTAAGTTTGGTGAAGGTGTTGCCTCAATGGAGCTGCGAGTGGAAAATATTTTCCAGTTTTGAACATAATCTAAAATGTACTACAATTAGAATTAACATGAAAAACTACGTGACTTTGATCTATTCTGCACTCATAATGCTGACTCCAACTGACTTGTGGCTTTTTCAGTTTTAGTATGCAATTATCAACCCATCAATCCTTGCAAAATGTCCTTGCTTCTCAATCTGTCACCAGCAGTATTATCAATGAAGTGGGCGATGCTGGTCTAATTTTCCTCCCTCCACAAGTGACACTTATTTTGCAGCTGCTAGTCCTTCCAATTCAAGTGCTCATATCTGGAAAGTGACTCAATTTATTTTTTCCAAACACAACAGTAATAGAGTAAAAGCTCTACCTATGCTATTTTTGCCTTAGATTGTGTAAATGTTATTCCAAAGTAATTATAATTTGGTGACATCACAATACCAGTTTAATTGCCATATAAACATTCATTGTAGCATGATATCACAGTTGATAATTTTACTATTTATAACTTAGCCATGATTAGTTTTCTCCATTTGTTTTAATGACTAATTTGATTAACCCCCTTGAAGACTGAGTGGCATTTGTTGTCCGTAACTGGTGCACTTGCAGTGTCCATGCCAGCTTTAGATTGGAAAAATTATGAGAGGTACATGCTGACAACGTTAGGGCTGAACTGTAATGCCCCCTGGAGGTGTTTTTGGTGGCGGTGGTGGGGCAGGGAGACAGGGTAGTTTAGCAAGGCAGGATATAATGGGGTTGGGGCAGGGGAAAATCCTTCTTTTCCCTGTTGTCTGCCTTGATTGAGTCTAGGCTGGAAAAGCATGTGGACAACCTTCCCTCCTTGCTGCCAATTTGAGGCCCTTAAGTAGGCAATTAATGACCCTTCTATGGTGTCATCTTGCCACTGCTGGTATTCATCCAGGATTTGCCATGTGGGAACCCCAAAACTCAAGTCCTATTGAGGTTCTTGCAGGGCCCTCCATGATAGGTGAGTCCATTTGACATCAGGCATTCAGCGGCTGATTGAAAGAGCCAGCGTAGGGAAGGGAGGGAATCCTGCTGGGAGCCACCCTCCCACACATTCTTCTAGCTATCCTCCTCTTCTACACAGAACCCATTCTGCGACACCCATCCTGCAATTTAATATGGTGTGCCTTCATGAATGTAGGCAATGTGGGGGTTTCAGACTCTGCAGCCAGTGGCTTGCACTCCGATTGCCTATATTAAAATTCTGCCATCAGTTACATGGCCATCTACAAACCACGCCCTGAAACCGGGAAGGTTGAGTTCTGCACATACATGAGGAGGATATATTTAATGTTTCTTAAGAGGCACCTCAAAAGGCATTCACCTACAAAACAACACTTTGTTATTTGAATCATAAAGTGGTTTATTTCACCGAAAATGCTTGCCACCATGTGAAGAATGGTGAACACATGTTACTGTCAAGGTTCTTTAAGTAAATAATAAATAAAAGAAAGATTTCATGCTATTTGTAGTTATTGACAGCTGAGGTGAGTTCTGATGTAAGGTTGTGGCCTCGATTGTTTCCCTCCCCAACGCTGCTATCAGACCCCCTATGTATCGCCACCATTTTCTGTGTTTATTTTATGTCATACTTGGCTCTTCCTGGCACAGCACACGAAGAGGGATCCTGGTCTATTCTTTGAGCAGACTCCAGCAGTCCATTTAATCAGCTGCTGTTTAGGCCTTCCTAGACCTGGTTATGGAGACGTGCTGCACGCTCTACTCACTTTAGCTGAAAATGACAATTGGGCTAATAGAGTGGCATGGATGCAATTTACATATTTAAGCAACCTCCCATCTGTTTCAAGTCTAAAAACTGCTCACCCATTTATATTTTCTAATCAACCTGTTCAGAGGTGTGACAACACAACTCTGGATCAGCTGGACTTTAATCCTGGTCTCCTGGCTCAGTGGTAGGGACACTACCACTGCAACACAAGACCCATTAATTAATTTATTTGCAGATTGCTTCAGGTGACCCTTGGGCATGAAGAGGTAGCCAAGGTCCCTCTTCCACCTCATCTTCAATCACTTTATTCAAGTGAGTATTGGACAACCAGTAATTAAAAATCCTTGGTGCTCATTGTCAGGTAACTTATTTCTATTTTAAAAAAAATAATTCTTGAAAATTCCCTGATTTATTTACCCAGCAAATTCCTTAAGAACCCAAATACTATTTCTTGTCGCAATGTAATGAACGGTGGGCATACCCCTTTGGTGATGCTGTGTCTCATTTGTTATTTGTCAGTCATCTGGAGAAAATTGAGTTACTTGTATTCAATCCCTGTCAGAGCCTGTGACTGACAGTTCAAGTACAGGAAATTGGTTCTGTTTAAGCCCACTCTCTGTTCTTTTGTTACCATCTCCTGCACTGCAGCTGTGTTTTTTAACTGATATGTTTGGTATTGAAACACACATTATTTGGTTTATGTGAAGCTCTCACTATATGGCCACCTCGTTGTTCCTTGATTTTCTACTTCTTTCAGCAATGTCCTTGAAAAGATTCCATGAACACAATGATAAGGCTGTCACACAGCTTGGATCTATGCTTTTCACCAGACTAGTATCTGGAGCCAGGTGAGTTGATGAGTAATTCACAACCTTAATGGACTTATTGATTGACTTATGCTTTGTTTTCCTTTTTATATGAGGAGCATGAAAAACTCTGTTGGATATGTGAGCTGCATACACTCATATTTATCATTTGAAGTACTCACCTCACCTTGCATATATGCTGAAGGATAATTTTTTAAAAACGGTCTCCACCTTTGTTTTTGGACTTTGTTGCCATATTATTCAAATTTTAGATTTTGTCTGTGGTGCAATATTTCTCAATCACATAGAACATGTATGGAAATAGAGGTTGGCCTAGTTCCACATTGTTTCTTTCTTTTGTCTCAGAGTTGTTCCTGTTGGCTCAGAACAAATTATAAATGGCTACACTTTCCAAGGATTTATGTCACACATTAATCGTTATCCATGCCCTTATTTGAACGCTGCTTCAGCAATTGGAATGAAAAGACAAGATGTGGATCTTTTTATTAAGAAACTGGACAAATGCCTCAAGACCCTATTGAAAGAGAAAGGCATTTCAGGAGCTGAAGAGGACATTGAAAAAGAAACGTCAGCAAATATTGAAGACGATGATACAGCAGAATTGATAGAAAATGTTCAAATTGGTCTAAAAATTCCAACAGATATGGTAGATCATCCTGTTTGATACCCCTTTAATTGGCCAAGTGCTCCAACTCAATCCAGGGGTGAATTTGCAGAAGTGCCTGACACAAAAATAAAACAAAAAAACTTACATTATTCTCACTTCTTAAATTTTTGTTTTCTTCTTCTTTGGCATGAATAATTGTTGATCGGCTTAACAGGGAATTACGTTATGATTAGGAGTAATTTCTGAGGAGTGACAAAACTGTTTTCTGAGTGATAAAATCAATAAAATGACCATTGGGGTATGAGAGATAAA